GTGAGGTCGAAATTATGACCTCTACACCTACGCTGTCAGTCACGTGACCGCCGTCCTCTCTCGCTTTGTCCGAGAATCTCGTGGCCGGCCGAATCACGTTAGTTTCACTCCGATCGACGATACAATGGAGTCTGAGCGGTTTGCTAACCACCTGTTGCGCTCGAAAGTCGAGCAAAGTCTAATGTTAGGGACTAACTTCCTAACTTGACAATTCCCGAATTCTCACATTTATTACAGTATGCGGACATCGCTTTATTACATTTAAGCCATATATTTATGGAAATTGGAAATATACATTTTAAAACTTTTTAAGTACGATGATTCGCTATTGCTTCCGTTAAAGAAGCGTGCTGCCATCTATCTCTTCGACTACAAATTATTTTAAAATTTCAAATTTTCTGCATAAGAGTACGTCCCGCCATCTAACGATCGAATTAAGTACTAATTCAGAATTTACAGAATCGTTCCTACGTAAAGGACGGATTTAAGGAAATGGCGATTGCTCCTAACAAACCAAAATTAAACAAAACAATTGTTTTTTAATGACATATTTGTATTTTTGCGTGTTATAATATATAATATAATATTTTGCAGTAATTAAAAATAGTGAAAGTCACGGTGCGCTAAAAAGAAAAACATTCATATCAAGCTATAAATCTATGGAACGTAGCCTTAAGGACACAGTACCGTAAACACAGCATCCTTACTTGCATTTTGTGCAAGAAGTTTTAGCGCGCCCAGGCTTGATAACAATGTGTAAATTTTGCACCCATTTTCTTTCGGCTCTCTGTGAGGCGGTAGTTTGATCGTACCTAGAATCGGCTTAAACATTGAATTTTATACAGGCTACTAAAACCATAAAAATGGAGGTTATCATGCGAAACGATCTGAAAATTTCATACACAACAGTAAACCCTCCCTAGCTGGACTGAACGTTGTCCGAGTTAGCGGGTTGTTTTTTCCGGCTGCGTGTAAAACGAGAAGGCGGATATAGAGTAGATTTATTATTTATTACGATCAGCTCTATACAGAAGTTTTATTGAGCTGAGATTATAATGCCAAATTTTTCTATTATTCCAGGATATAATGAACTCAAAAAATTTCCATGATTATAGTGCACAGCAATGTACTGTTATACAGTACCCTACAGTAGAGTCTTTAGTAACTTACCGATTACAGTAGCATAATGCGCGGATTTCAAAGACTTCAGGATATCGAAAACATTCGTTAATTTAATTTTTCCATTATCAAGAAATTTTAAGTTACTTTTTCGAAAAATTTGTCCACGTTATGCGAAGTTCGAGTTAACTGTATTTACTGTATTGTAGGTTTACTGTATTGTAGCGGAGGTTTACTGTATCATCCAGATTTACTGTAACTGTCCAGTTGCATATTTTTATCGAATGTTTTTTCAACCGCTGTGCCACAAAACTTAAATCGCTCTAAGATCTTTCCAGTGGCGTGCCGTGACATTTGATGATAGGGAAGCTGTGTTTCTATAAGAAGCCGACTGCCAGGGGCAATCAGTCAGCAATGGTCTAGGGTCCATTCGTATTCGNTTCTAATGTCGGCACGCCACTGGATCTTTCTAGATCCGCCATTATGGCTGCCGTATTGTGAAATCCCGAAAAGGAGCCATTTCTGTGCTCCGAGTTTCGAAAAAAGTTTTCTTATTACAGCAGTAAGGATAATACACTATACTGTGATGTAACAAGAGATAACTGTAATCTAAATAAGAATTTATATGTACTTACATTTATTTTGTTTTGTAAGTTCAGTTGTAATCTCAACACTTCCCAATATTTGCATAATCTCAAAGTAAGATTTAAATAACGAATAGAATTATATCTTACTAATTTAGTATTTAAATATGGTTAAAATATTAAGTAATATTTTACTTATATTTTATAAAAATATATGGCAGAGATAAGTTGATAAAAATTTTATTTTTTCTAGCCTATATCAATCAATTAAAAAATAAATAATCCCTTTTATGTACAGTGTACTCGTTTCTTACTCCTAATTTTTGTAAAATAAAATGAAAATAAATACATATAGTCAGTGCCAGCCCGAGGCAAGTTTTAGGATGGAGCGAGATCCTATTATGGCGCCCCCCTTGTGGCCCCTAATTTATACCCTTTATTTTTCTTTAACACTGAGGCGCCACCTAAAACTTAGCGCCTGGAGCGGCTGCTCTGTTCGCACTATGGTAGGGCCGGCTCTGCATATAGTCTATATCTTGGGAGGGAGACAATTTGCTAGTCATATTGGGGATATAGCCCCTCTGCCCCTTATGTGTCAGTGGTATAGCACGGTGTATAACTGTTATATTGATTAACGGCTATGTTCTCTTTGTAATCAGGCTAATCGATCGTTTTGAATAATTGTAAATTTTACTAATAATCAATTTCATTGTAATTAATTGAAATTTATAACAGTTGAGTTTTATGCTAATTAACTTATTATTGTTGTAATATTTCTTTTGTAGTCAGAAAGTTAAGTATTGGCATTTGTAATTTATGATGCAAAGTGGGTTTTTCTATATTTTGGATTAACCTACTTTTAGAAGTTTTGTGACCAGAGCCATCGGAGTTTTTCCTCGTGCCCAGAGAATACTTTATTTAACGTAGTGATTCCTGCTCTTATTACATTTTTTTTTGTTAGTAAAAAATAAACACAAAACAAGCTTTATCACTTAATAAAAAGCATGTCTGCGTACGTCGTGCGCGTAAAAGGAGCCCTATACAAAGCTCTGGACGACCGTGCTTGTAACATATTGTAATGAATAAAATCTTATTTCTTATCTTATTACAGTACATTATTGTAATGAATAAAATCTTATTACTTACATAAGCTGAGTTAATCAAACAATTGTTTCGATGAATTTAGACTTATGTACTGTACAGTATACTAGTTTATCGAGAATAGTAAACATACTTAAGGCTACACTTCGTCTACGTGCGAACCGAAAACGAAGCTGGCTGATAATGAAAATCCGAATAGAAACTAGAAATGTTTAGATCTAAATACATTTAAAATGTAATATCGTTAGCATCATCTAAGTCAATTGGTCGAATTGGCAACGTAGAATTCTAAATTAACGCTACATTGTTACTAACAGAATCTCCCATTTTTTACACGGGGTAACGCTGGAGTGAAGAGGAAAAAGTCTAATCGCTAGAAATAGGGACAAAAAAAAAAACATTCAAAACTACACGGACACTAATTTTCATTCACAAAATGATAACGTATGCATGGGCATAGCTAGAGGGTCATGATGGTCGGACGACCCCCAAAATCTTAAAGTCAGCAACCTCATTCGTTTGTATAAAGTCCCTCAGCTAATCACAATCATTAAAAGCAATGTTAGATAATTTTACTTAGTTCTATAATGTTTCTTAACTTTTAAAATAACAGAACTATTAATAATACAAATGAAAAAGTTAAAGATTCCATGAATCAGTTATGTAAACAAATATTGTTAAAAGCAAAGTAGTAGAGATTATTATTAAGGTGTCCAAATTTTTTACAATGAAAAGGAGGACACTAATAAATTGAAGGAAAAAATATCTTAAATAAAAAACATTTTATTCATTGCAACAATAATACACTATAATAATCTCTACTGCATGCGTAGGTGCCATGTCGTGTTCAATAAGAAGTAATAAACAAAGCCGTTTGCGTGCGCTCCCTAAGGTTTTCCGTGCGAAGAGCGTCTCATAATTGCATCTCGTCGCATTGTACAGAGCCTTGTTGAATCATGTTAAATACAAACACGTCATATCACATCACACGTAACGGATCGGTTCGGCATTGATTGAATACGGAAATTTACAGATTAGTCTTCAAATATCAAAAAGGAGGACAGTTTTCGAGGAAGGACAGAACTTACAAAAGGAGGGCGATTAGTCACCTCTTCACACTCAGTCTCCCACAAGATACACACGAAGGGTATACGAAATCGATAAGGCGAGAAACTTTCTAAAGTCACGTGATTCGATACATTCAAATTCGATAAGCGAAATTTACCAAAGTAATTGGGGTATTCCAGATTTTGTTAAGTTCGCCAAGCTGTGAAGTACAGCTAAACCGGAATCAGGCAGGCGTGTCCAAAATACCATTCCGGCATCTACAGAACTTTGTGACAAAAACTATAAAACAATCACTTTCTAGTTAAAAGTAAAAACATACCGGTAATAGCCATACGTGTCGACGGCCGGATGGCCGAACGGTCAAGGTGGCATCCTACCACTCTGGGGAACCTGGGGTAAAACCCGTCCATCACCATCCGGCTTTTCTTTTATCACACAATCTTTTCCTTTATTGTTCGAAAGGTCAAAAGATTAACATTTTATTCTATTCGTTCTGCACTTATTCTAATGCATTGTTTCGAAAGCCTCGACGAATAGCCTTGTTTTCTGTTCAAGATCACTGAAATTAAGCTTATGCGAAATAAAAATTTAGTTTATAATACACCAAGAGTCACGGAGTTTTTCGTATTTTCATTACGTTTGTAACACCTAAATATGCGCCAGTTCTCGTTAAAACGTCCTCCCTACGTGTCGAGTTGCAGTATACAAATAAACCAAACTACAGAATTTGATAAACTTTCGTTTTGTCGCAAATAAATTTTCTGCAGAATTCTTTGACCCTTGTGCGTTAAAGAATGCAGGCTGAATGCTTTATGAGCTCGATTTTAGACTTCAAACGGTTCAGAATTGCGGAAACGTCAAGAATAATAAATTAGTGATCTAACAACCGATACTGTAAACTTGCACTACATGAAAGTTTTTAAGCTAATGCCCTAACGTAAGATTAAAATAGAACACAGATGAAATTATCAAGCACGTCGTTTTTGTGTTATCCTTGCGCCCGTTTCGATCTCTAGAAGCTGAAACTAGTTAAAATTTCACGAGTAAAAAAATTTTATCATCATGGCGACTTTATTATAAAATTGTTAATAAACAAGTCACGGTAGTATTTTAACAACAACAAAAACAAACCAAAAAAAATCTGGTTTATTTTGGAAAATCCTTCACTAACAGATTTGTAAACACCAAAAAACTTTTTACAATATAGAAAACTTTTGAATATTTCCACTAGATAATTACACAATTACAAAAATTTCTTCTACAGAGTTTTCAAAATAATTCTATTAAATGTAAATTTAAAATTGAGTGGAATCCATACAAAAAGCAAGCAAATAGTGAACCGTAGCATTTAGTGATTCCACAGTTGCATTAATCACTGAAGAAAAATATGTTAAATGGTAGTTTCTTTAACACTAAAAACATTAGATTCAAATCTTATACAGTCAAATAACAATTACATCTGGGAATTTGATACTTAATTCTGAAAAATGACAACTAGTGGTGCTTGTTTTTGTTGACTCTGCTCGGGATCTGTGCCGCTGGGAGAATATCTACTCCCGTCGGCACACGAGAACGGGTAAATCCATGGCTAAGCACAGTTTCTTGATTGAATATCTGATGAATAATACACAACTTATCAATAAATAAATTGAAATGAAAAATTTTAGTGCTCCACTGTTAAACATCTGAGCAATGCAATGGAGGCAACAACAGATTGCAATCCACTTTCCGTGTTGCTAAACTCCGCATTTGTATCTTACATAGTCATATTTTGAATATTTTAATATATTAAATTTTCTTCTGACTTCCCCAAAAGACAAAGTACATAAGTTTATTGCACGGCTTTAAAGTCACCCAAGGATCGGATAAAACCAGAGTTTTACAAAAAATGAAAGACTTTTCCTTTTGGAATTTCTTTTTTTACACCCTTCCCAAATTTTTAAAGACCCAAATTACAAAAATTTAGATTTGTTGTCTTTTCATTAATTGTCCATATTTCCACCCTAAAGGAGATGGAATGTATAAATAAATGCTTAATGTAAATATTAGCCATTACCATATTTTTTGGTGCAGTGCACAAAAAAGGTTAAACATATCAAATTTGGCAATACAAGATCTAAATCAAACAATATACAAGTTAACAGAAGTCTTTTCCATAGATTCCAATATACAAATGCATGCGTCACACCCAGAATGAGATGCACCTCCGGCCAATTATCTGATGCCTCGAATCGGTTCTCAGTTTCTTTGACAAACACTTCAAATTTTAGACAAGTACACGATACATGGCTTCTATCTGAGGCATAAAATATTTTCGGCACTCTGGTCGTTTGGTCTTCAGAGTGGGTGTAAGCAAACCGTTGTCAACAGAAAATGGTTCTGGATGCACGTAGATATCTTTCACCTGATTAATTAATAGACAAAATTAAAAAAAAATGTCTTTGAAAACTTTAAAAATTAAAAAAACTTACCTGTTCAAATGATTTCAATCCAGTTTTCTTTCCTAGACTAACGATGTTATCAAATATAAGTTTCTTCAAACTCTAAAAAAGAAAGAGAAAGGGAGATACTTTTTAAAGGCCATCAATTTATGAAGCACAATATTATTCTACTCGTTTTTCAAATTTAATGTTTAAGTTTGTTTTCTCCAAATTTTATCCTTGTTTGAATAGATGGTTGGATAAGCCTGCCCTAAACTTTTTTCCTAAAGGGTCAAATTAGAAATTTAGATACCTTTTTTGTGGCCTGCTGAATGTACTTTATATAAATGTATACTTTTAAAAAATTCAAGATGTGAATATATATACGTAATTTGTTCTTAAAATTTGATACAGTAATTACAAAAAAATACTGTATTATTGACAGTAAAAAAAAATTATACTCATACAAAATAAAAATAAATTCAATGTGATTTTTGACATAATCTTTTATAATATTGTCGATATCTGCTTTTATGGTACTAGTATTAATTCTAAGAATCTTAGAAGTTAGTTAAATGGGAATCATTGAACTTATTTCTTTCAGCAGTTTTGATGTTTTTCATGCATGAAAAGAATTGTTCATAACAGTATACACCATAGGTGGACAAGCAAGAGTTCAGTGGGAACCGAAATTTAGGTTTTGCAAAATGCATGGGAGCTGCAGTTCTGTACCGCAATTTTATTATATTGAATTTTTTAATATTTATATTATGTTTTATATTAACATATTTTCACAAAATTGTGGAAATAATTTCTGCTTTTTATTATTATTTTTACAATTTTAACTTTCAGCAAGAGCCGCATTTGCACATGTCTGATATATACTATCCCACATAACAGTTCTCTAGATCGGTGGTCTCCAAAGTGGGGTATGCATCAAAGTGATACTTGGGGGTATGTCAAGTTTTCCTTCAAAATACTGTGTGTGTCCCCTATACAGTCATAATATTGTAATTCTAATTCAAAATGTAAATTTGTAGTTTAATTTAAATTTATGTATATTGTTTAAAATAATTCAATTTTTGACTATACATACACAAACATTACAGCGGATAAAACTTATACAGTAATTATTTTGGTCTTAGGGGTACACAATGAAAAACTTTGAAGATCACTGCTCCAGATAAAATAGTTTTCTAACACCAATTAGTCATTAGGGCATCAGTATATCCAGTGAAACGAGAATTAGTTTTATGACACACTTTACCAAAATAAATGAAAAGATACCTAAAAAAATTAAGGGTGCAGTGGGCCACATAAAAATATTAAGTGGGCCACAGTGCGGCCCATGGGTTGGACATCCCCAGTTTAGGGGTTAAGAATTATGGAAGTCTTTTTTATTACCAGTTTTCAGGCCTTGATTTAAAAATTGCTTATGATCAACATATTATATGCAAAAAATTTATAAAAGTTGAGTATATCTGCAGTTGCATAGCAAGACTTATAGAAATTAAGTTTGCAGAAAAAGATATTTTTACTAAGCTTCAAAGAAGCATGACTGACTTAAATAAATCTAATATTGGAATTGAATGTCACTACAGAAAGACCAATGACAAATTAACAAGAATAATTAATAGAGCCTCTTCTAGAGATCAATAGGTCATATCAAAAATAGAATAATTCAGAATATCATTTGGAAAAGTTGACTTTCAATGTTCAAAAGTTTTCAAAAATTTATTGAAATTATATTTTCCTTTTTAAACTAAACTAATGTTAAGTTTAAAAATATTAAAAATTCTAAAATTTACTTACATCTGAAATGCTATTAAATTAAATATGGACTAGTTAATTCCAATTGATGTGTGATGAAAGTATGTTATTTGATATCTCTTTACAATTTAGCTTAATTTACATTGAGACAAACTAATGTTTAAAAAGCAAAATGTAGGTTTGAAAACAAGATTACCTTATCACCACACAATTTATTCCAGGGTTCCTGAATATTCTGTTCTTTAGCCCAAGATTTTACTACTTCACTATCTGGCACAACTATAGCAACAAGACACGACTGAAAGGGAATAAAAAAAATTAGATTGATTGATTTCCAAAAATTTTTCACTTAGATTTCCTTAGATACCTTTAAGCTTTCTCCATGAACAAAGATTTGCATAATATAGGGACTAGATAGATAGATATTCTCAATTTTTTCAGGTGCAATATATTCACCTTGTGCAAGTTTAAATATATGCTTCTTTCTGTCTACTACTTTTAATGCACCATTCTATGTACATAAAAAAAGGAAAAGTATAAATTTCATAAAAAGCAGCAAAGATCTAAAATTACAAACTGAATTTAGAATACTTACAGGGAGCCACATTCCAATATCTCCAGTATGTAGCCAGCCATCTTTGTCAATTGTTTCTGCAGTTTTTTCTGGATTTTTTAAATAGCCTCTAAATATGTTGTTTCCTTTGATACAAACCTAAATAGAGACGAAAAAGAAATTAAAATTTTTAACCCTAATTATATAATTTAAAACAAAAATTTTTCCTTACTTCACCCTTGTTCTCTGAAGCATAATATTCCATTTCAGGAACATCAACCAATTTAATTTTGCAGCATGGTATTGGTGGTCCAACATGTCCTACATTAAAAGTCATAATTAAACAAAATACTTAAGAAAAACTCTACTCACAGTAATACTTACCAGCTGTATAATCTCCGTGAACTGTTAAAGTACATGGTGCAACACCTTCAGTTTGACCATATCCCTCTACAACCTATATATTATGAAAATTAGTATCTACTGTAGTAATAAAAAACAAACAAAGAATCTTAAAAAATTCTTACAACACATCCAAGAGCACATCTAATAAAGGTTAACACGTTGCTAGCCAATGGTGCCGATCCACAAACCAGCAATCTAAGCCTTCCTCCCATACCTTCTCTCACTTGTTTAAATACAAAATCCCAAGCTGAATTATTCCTGATAACCAATCTAAATTTAAAAAGATAGCTTATAAGTCCTTAAAATAAGTATAAATAGATTTCAGCAGTATTATAAACAACCTTACCGTTTCAATTCTGACTGCTTTCTTTTCATTGCAAAATTTAAAAGAAACTTTTTTGCAAAACTTCCACTTACTGTTGCCTGAACCTTTATTAAAAATAATTATTCTGATTAAGATTGTACATAGGAACAAAATATTTCAACTAGATTCTTTCAAGTATATTTTATAATTAAAAAAACTGCTGTAATAATTATTTTTTCTAAAAATAAATAGAATGAGAAGATTTTAATAGACTGATAACTGATGTTGGGTATGCTGATACCAAATGGACAATAGCAAGTTGACATTTGAATCATCAAGATGCTATCTTTACCTCTATCTATACAAATGAAACTATTTAATTTTTTCAGTAAATTTTGTGAAATCTGATTGAATCAAGAAGGTTCAATGTACAACAATAACAAATTTTATGCAACTACAAGTCAGGACCATCTGATGCTTTTTTTGGTACATAGTCTATGTGCCAAAGAGTTAAATAAGAGTTAAATATTTAAACTTATTTCTTACAGTTCATTTATACAATGCAAATTTAAAAAAAATATCACTTTCAGGACAAGTAAAACTTTCCATTTTTAGATCCTGAGATTAGTCACTTAAATACAAGAACTTTCAAATCCATAAAATGCAAGTGTTATGCCAAAATTTAGATTATCCAGACCTAATGAGATCCAAACTTTATACAACCACTAATATTTGTTGGGTGAAATTGAAAATCAAAAGCATAAATTAATTGAATAGTTTGTGTTAATTTATTAGCTATCCTCTAACTATTAAAACATTGATGTTGATTTTTGTAGTGGTTTCTGGATTCTTGTAACATTATACAAAAGCATTGTTCAGAAACTTAAAGCAGTTGCATTGATTTTACATAAAAACTTAATATCTGATTAACAAGTATTAAATTTTTTGTCTAAGCTTGGTCTTCAAAACACTTCAAAAAACCTTATACCAACAAAATGAAAAAAAATCTTTCATTCCACAACTTCTTTGACATTTTTAACAAAAAGATTGAACAAACATCACTGAACTAGAGATTGAATTATAAACTAAGAAATGTATTTAAATTAGCTATGTGATCACATGGATTTTTCCCATGTAAAGCTATGTCTATTATAGTAATTACTTTTTATGTAACTTCAAAAACATGTATTTTTCAATAAATAAATATCTAAAAACAAGATTTAAAGGATTATTGCAAGAATAAAAAATTTATCTTAAACACTTAAACAAGCTTATATATTGCAACAGCATCACAATTCTAACATGCAATTTTTAAATCATATTTTTCAGTTTTAATTTAAAGTATATGCTCTCCACCTCAAATTTGTATTATGTGATGTCTTGCCCCTGTACACCATACTTTTCCCATTAGGAATGGAGTCATGCCAGTCATCTAACTCCTTTCAGGGGAAAATTTTTTGAATTGAAATAATTGACTTCCAATTTGCATTGAAGTTCCTATACATATAGTTAATTGGAGCCTCTTGCCCCTAAGATTTCCACATCTGGTCTTTAATTTCATTTATCTAACACTGAGATTAAGGAAAGACAGATGGACGGACAATAGTGAATTTATAGGCCGACAATTTTTTTTCAAATTGCATCCAATGAAAGATTAATAGCTTAATATAAAGATTTGCTGGACTACTTACTGAAGATAAAAACTAATAGTAAATCAGATTACAAAATAGTAAAATAGAGATGGAGTACAATAAGCGACCAAAATATGGGAAACAAAATTTTATTTTATACCCTTCATTGCTCAAGAAAATAAGGATTTAGTATTTTAATTTTCAGAATAATGCTAAATTTTTTCTTATTTACACCACAGAGGATTAATTCATAGCAAGCTGGAAGAATTTGCTTGGCAAGTAACACTGATTTCATTTTTCTTGCTAACTTAATATGAAAAAAGAAATTAAAAATCTAGAAAAAAAATCACTAAAAAACACTTATTCATAAAATTTTACATTTGTTTTTGATGTTATGTAAAAACTTCAGAATTAATACATTAGTCAATATATTAATTAAATCTCAATTGAAAAAACCTTACTCAATATAATCCTAAAATTTTTAGTATATATTATATTATTCATGAAGATTACAATGTTACTTTTTGACTTCACAAAGTGTCTGAAGAAAAATTATCCATATTCAAGGAAAAAAATTAAATATCATTTTAATATAATGCTCATTAACACTTCATCCAGAATGAAATTTAAATCTTATTAAAATAATTTAAATTTCAAAGTAGTACTTCCAATAAAATTGGAGAATTAAATAGATAATATTATATTAAACATACAAAACAGTAAAAATTTTAGTGCTTAAGAAAATTCAAGCTAAAAACAAACCATATAATATGGTAATTAACATTAATACTTTAAGTGAAAATATTTATCTAAATATTTCTCCTTATGATATTTTAAACATAACTAATCAGACTTTCAAGAATTGGAACATTTTAGTATTAATAAATAGTAATGAAATAATTGTTTTTCTCAAAGTTTTATTAAATTAAAATACTTAAATTAAAAATGAGATTGAAAAGTATTTAAAATTATCTGCTGAAAGTTATTCAATAGTAGTATAACTTTAAAATCAAGCACTATTTTAATAAATTAAGTCAAGTCCAAGTTAAAAATTAATACTTTGTTGTTCAAATTCAAAAATACAAGTCTCACCTATCTAAAGTAAATCTGCTTAAAAAAATAGTATTGAATTTTTTTGTATGTTTGCTTTATAATTTCATTCTTTTTACTAGGGTGTTCTATGCAGACTTCAAAATTTTGCTAATTAAAATTTATTTAAAGTAATATATTGACCAAAAAAAAGTTTCAATAGCTTTGCTTCATTGAACAGATAAACTTGAGCATATGAAATTCTCAATTTACTGAAATTTATTAGCTTTGGTTATTAAACTAGTAAGTTTAATCTGACTAAGTCCTAATTTTTTTTACAGTAATTGATTTAATTTGGTACCTTGTCATAAATGCGATTTAACACTCTTGGAACTGTTGGAGATATCGTTGGGCGAAGTGCTTTCATATCTTCCACTAATAAGCGTATATCACCTTGATAAAATCCAACTCTTCCTCCAGCAATGTAAACTGTTGCCTGTAGACAAAAAAAATTCTATAGTTAGTTTTAATTTCATCTAAAATAAAACTAAGGATTTCAAGAAGCAATTTTTAATAAGAGGAATAAGCTTTAATATTCCAATTAAAAACTTACTTCACAAACTCGTTCAAACATGTGCGCTAATGGTAAAAAAGACATCATTACATCATCACTATTTGGAGCATATTCAGCCTATTAATAAAAATTATAAAGTGAAATTCTAAGAATATAAAAATTCCTAATGACTTAAAATAATCAAAAAGAAAGGTTTGAATTTACCAGTTGATAAATAGAAGCACTAACATCAACAACTACATTTCTGTGGGTCAACATGACTCCTTTGGGAGTACCAGTTGTACCACTTGTATAACACACTGTTGCCAAATCTTCAGGTTTGGGAGGCTTCAAGGAAAAAAAAGGAAGTTAGGAAAAAGTCTTATTCTGATTAAAAATTCAAAAATTATCAGATACTTACTACTGCTTCAAATGGATTTGTTTTACCTAATTCCTGTAATAAGAAAAACACTTAAGAAAAAACACTTTAATATTAAACATTTTTTAATATTATTAAAAAATGTTTAATATTAAATAAAGTTTAATATTAAATAAAACAATAATTGACATTTATGAATATTGCAAAAAGTTATTAAATGTATGGAAAAAAAATAAAATTTAAGTTTGATGAAATTTTCTTTGTTATTATTTCTTTGTTTCTGCAATGCAAGTATTGCAGAAAAATCTGTAAATATAGCTATGTTGACATACTATTTTTCCCCTATATAGTTAGAAGTTATTTTACTGAGGGGAAGGTTTATCTTATAGCATTCCATTTTTTATCTGGAGTAATTGTTGCAAGAATGGAAACATACATACAAATGCAAGGACCCAAGTCTGTCCTCTGACATTCTAACTTAAAGAACAGTGTTCTCAATCTGACAATCTTCTTTCTTCAAAAAAAATTTGTTATATGTATCATCATCCAAGGAGAGAACTTCTGCAAAGTATCAAGCAGAGGATCACCTCAGTGGCATGAAACCCATTTAATAAGCACTTTGAGACTACCTTGTCCTAAGTGATGCAGTATCAAACAATAGAAAAAACATTTTCTGCACTATAAATGTAGATGAGGCATCAATGCCTCGTTTCATTCTATAGTCCAAATAATTGAAAAGCAATTCCATTCTATTGCATTCTAGGATAACAATGGAATTAGCTTAAACTTCAATATTTGAAGACTGCTATTTTGAAGAGTCTTGGCATATTGAACAAAAGTATATCTGACAATAGTGACAATTTCTTGGATGCCATATAATCGTAAAGACTTTCAAGTAGGAACATCTCTAATCTATCCTGCATTCCAAACCTTGTTCAAACTTGGAGCAGACCAATTGTTGAAAAAATCTACTAGGTCCCCAGTTCAATTTAGTCAAAAAAAAAAATTAAAACAGGCATAAATGCTTCAGAACAGAACCAATATTTTTGCAAAATAAATTTTTGAAAAATTTTGATGTGCTGGGACAAGACTGCCTCTTGGAAACCTATTTTAAACAAAACATACCTAACTGAATCAATTCTTACAAGAAGTTAAAATAATTTTGTGGCCAGAAATTTAAATTAAGCTTCTAAATAAAAAGACCCAAGGCAATAAAGCTACAAACCAAGGCTCCTAATACGACTAACTACACATTAATTAATGAAAAACAAACATACGATTGAAATAAATATAATCGTTTCTAAATATATTAACCATCATCCAATATTGGGAATTCTTACTGAAATGGGTAAATTTAATAAAAATGTTTTCAGACTGAAAATTATAAGCACCTACCACCATGCAGTTCAAAAACAATTGAAGATTCCAACAAATTACAAAGGAAACCATATAAAATTAAAATGGCAAATGTAAGCAGGGCAAGTTTAACACATTTAATGCTGAAGTAATATGGATATAGGTTCACATTATCTGCAGAAAAAAGGGTAAAAATAATAGGCTGATTATTATTCTTTTCTTAAAAATGCAATTTATTGGATTATGTTTAAAACCTCCAGCATTTAATTATCTCTCTCATATAATCAATTTTATTGTTTATAAAAAAAAATTCAACAATTGTAAATGCTTACAAATTAATTTTAAGAACACATTCTCAACAATGTTTCATTATAATATTGCTGACAAAAGTAACAACAACATTCAGTGAATGCTGTATTTATAACAAGAATTGTGTACAAATAATTTCCAGTAACTTTTCACAGGGAAAAAAAAGGGCTTTCAAATTTTAAAAACCTCATTATACATTAGTTACTGAATAAAAATCAACTAATCATTGATTTTATCTTTATGATAAAAACTAGCATTTTATTAACACCTTTTTACATCAAAATATTCAAAAACAAATAATATTTTTGAATTTCCCACAAATATATATAGTCATCTTAGTTTCAATCTGTTAAACTACAACAAAATTCAAACTTTCAAATTCTGAAATTTTAGCTATTCAATAAAACAATTTTAGTTTAGAGATGTTTATGTTTGGCTTCTTTATTCTACAATAAAATAACTAAAAAACTAAAAAAAGTACATTTATGTGAATAAAAAAGCATTAAGTAAAAAAATCTCCCCCCCAGCATTCACAGTATTCTTGGTATTTGTGTGCAAAAAATAAATGCATAGGGGCATTCATGTTTAGAAATATTCTTNTCCTCTCTCGTTCTGTTACGGTCCCCGGAGAGTCGCTCCGTAAGCAGTTAGTGAGGTCGAAATTATGACCTCTACACCTACGCTGTCAGTCACGTGACCGCCGTCCTCTCTCGCTTTGTCCGAGAATCTCGTGGCCGGCCGAATCACGTTAGTTTCACTCCGATCGACGATACAATGGAGTCTGAGCGGTTTGCTAACCACCTGTTGCGCTCGAAAGTCGAGCAAAGTCTAATGTTAGGGACTAACTTCCTAACTTGACAATTCCCGAATTCTCACATTTATTACAGTATGCGGACATCGCTTTATTACATTTAAGCCATATATTTATGGAAATTGGAAATATACATTTTAAAACTTTTTAAGTACGATGATTCGCTATTGCTTCCGTTAAAGAAGCGTGCTGCCATCTATCTCTTCGACTACAAATTATTTTAAAATTTCAAATTTTCTGCATAAGAGTACGTCCCGCCATCTAACGATCGAATTAAGTACTAATTCAGAATTTACAGAATCGTTCCTACGTAAAGGACGGATTTAAGGAAATGGCGATTGCTCCTAACAAACCAAAATTAAACAAAACAATTGTTTTTTAATGACATATTTGTATTTTTGCGTGTTATAATATATAATATAATATTTTGCAGTAATTAAAAATAGTGAAAGTCACGGTGCGCTAAAAAGAAAAACATTCATATCAAGCTATAAATCTATGGAACGTAGCCTTAAGGACACAGTACCGTAAACACAGCATCCTTACTTGCATTTTGTGCAAGAAGTTTTAGCGCGCCCAGGCTTGATAACAATGTGTAAATTTTGCACCCATTTTCTTTCGGCTCTCTGTGAGGCGGTAGTTTGATCGTACCTAGAATCGGCTTAAACATTGAATTTTATACAGGCTACTAAAACCATAAAAATGGAGGTTATCATGCGAAACGATCTGAAAATTTCATACACAACAGTAAACCCTCCCTAGCTGGACTGAACGTTGTCCGAGTTAGCGGGTTGTTTTTTCCGGCTGCGTGTAAAACGAGAAGGCGGATATAGAGTAGATTTATTATTTATTACGATCAGCTCTATACAGAAGTTTTATTGAGCTGAGATTATAATGCCAAATTTTTCTATTATTCCAGGATATAATGAACTCAAAAAATTTCCATGATTATAGTGCACAGCAATGTACTGTTATACAGTACCCTACAGTAGAGTCTTTAGTAACTTACCGATTACAGTAGCATAATGCGCGGATTTCAAAGACTTCAGGATATCGAAAACATTCGTTAATTTAATTTTTCCATTATCAAGAAATTTTAAGTTACTTTTTCGAAAAATTTGTCCACGTTATGCGAAGTTCGAGTTAACTGATCATCCAGTTGCAGGTTTACTGTATTGTAGCGGAGGTTTACTGTATCATCCAGATTTACTGTAACTGTCCAGTTGCATATTTTTATCGAATGTTTTTTCAACCACTGTGCCACAAAACTTAAATCGCTCTAAGATCTTTCCAGTGGCGTGCCGTGACATTTGATGATAGGGAAGCTGTGTTTCTATAAGAAGCCGACTTCCAGGGGCAATCAGTCAGCAATGGTCTAGGGTCCA